TATTTTGGTTGTAATCCTATTCCTGCCAGATGATTTACTGGTGTCTTATTTTGCACCTTAAGTTTGGTTAGGGACCACAATATCAGGCGGGGAGGATTGCAGAGCCCTTGTCTTTGATCTCCTTATTAAGGATTGAGAGAAGGCTTGCATTACCTTCTTCAGATGCTGAGAACAACCAAACAAGTTTGTATGAGTTACAACTGGGAAAACTGGTCACAGAAGTGTAAAAACACCCAGGCTTTTGAGCAGAAGAAAAATAGAGCAGCTTGTTGACAAAAGTAAGTCTCCTGAAAATGCATCTGACATATATGCCTTTGAAAGGAACATGAGAAGCAGGCCAGAGTACCCTATCAACAAACATAGGCTACTTTATGCCAGCACTTTCAATATGCAATAGACTTAAAAAAATAAAAAGAGGAACAAGTAATTTATTCTCAGCAGTGGTGTTAATAACTTTGGTGTATTTCAAAGCTAGGGCATTCCAAAAGTTTTCTTCCTGCTGTTCTAGGAAAAACAGATCCACCTATATTGTCAATTTATCCTGGATAATCTTTTTGAAATGCTCTTTAAAAGTGACACTTTTTGCTCTAACACACAGTGCAATGTTCCACAAACATTCAGGAAGACAAGCCCAACTTCTATGAAATTCAAATCCATTAAAGCAGGTCCCTCTAACAAAAGTTAGGTTTCCTTTGATGGCGGTTCTTCTTCTTTTCCCCTGAATCTTGTCCTCATTTTCTAGTTCAACAATCTTACATCTCTTCCTCCATCAAGCGTTATTCCTTAGCAAAGCAGTATTACAGCTTGTCATGCAAAAACTAACTCTGCATTTTCAGATCACCATTTTCAGATCAGAGGAATCTCAAAGTAGACAGAGAGAGCTATTAGGATGATTGGTAATAAGAGCAAGAACAAATTGCTATCACAATCTCAATCTGACAGGTGTGGTGCCTAGAAGATGGAGACTGACAGATGTAGGAATCGAGGAAAGACAGCATCTTATCGACATGCCTATTTACATTGTCCCTTCAATACTGGGATCCAAGAAAATGATTAAAAAATCAGATATAATAAAAATTACAATACATTATAATATCAAAGCACAACTAAACAGCTTACCATATTATAAAACCTGAATCTGAATAAATCCAGAATGGGGGGGGCAATTAAAAAGGCACAGCAACTTTCAACTGTTTAACAATCCGAAAACACAGACAGATATTCACTAGTGGGATCAGGATTGCTAGCAGCAATCCAACAGCAATTTTTGACTTTTACAGGCTCCCCGCCCATATCCCAAGGTTTCCAAAAGCTTCCCCAGGGGCAAAAGGAGCTTTATGGAGCCTTAGGATGTAAAACAGAGGGATAGGAATTAAATGTTACTAGCATAATCTGTGATGACAATATTAGCTTCCACCACATAATTTTAAGCAAATAGGATTGTGGCCACTGATTCAAGAAAATAATCTCAGCCCAATTCTTTTAGAACTTTACAGATATACATGAGAGACCAAGGAGTAGAAAATAAATCTTTTCTCATTACTACATGAGACGAGGCAAATTTGAAATCATAACCTTTCAGAAAGAATAAAATTTTACCCAGATGTATGAATACAGGGGTTCCATTGTGTTAATTTGATAGGTCGGTTATCTCAAAAATTAGTTTTAGTATAACAATTTAATGCGGATAGTTCTCTAAGGCACAAGATGCTGCAAAGATCAGTTGCGTCATCCAAAATGAATTGGGATACAAGATTTTTTTTCTTGCCTCAGTCCACGTTCTATGGCCTTCTCATTTTGAAAGAAAGAAAAAAAATTCATGCAGAAAGGTTAAAAGTTTAGTAGGATAGCTGAGGTACAAAACTGAGTCATTCAGAAAAATTTTATTTTGGGGAGCTATAAGGTAAAGCAGTCGATAGTAATGCAGTTCAGCTGTCCAACTGAGAGGAAATGTCCAATTATCATCTTCTTCTTCTTAAGACAAGCAATTCCAATTTTATTCCTATGTGGACTTAAAAGCTATTCCATTACAGAATGCCCATTATCAGATTTGGGGTTTTAACATTCATTTACCAATAACTCTTCTCCAAGCAATATTCTTGTTAGATGTCTTTAGTCAAGTCATCAGACACATACTAATAATAACTAATATCCCTAGTGTATCTAAGGACTTGACTCAAGATAGGTAACAAGAGTACCAAAGCAACTCCCAAACCTAACAAGGGATGGGGGGGGGATTAGCAAGCTTTCCCTCATGTCAATTCTTGAATTCTATATTTTCTATTCTTTTATTCCCCATCTTGATCATGCTATATTAATGTTCAAATGTTTTTTATTATGAATTTTGTTTATTTTGATTGTGCTGTTTTTATTCTTATTTAATGATATTTTATGATTTTGTAAGCCACCCCGAGTAGACGCTGTCTAGGGGGGGCGGGGTATAAATCAAATGAATAAATAATAAAATAAATACAGTGGTGCCCCGCATAGCGACGATAATCCGTTCTGGATAAGTCGTCGCTATCCGGGGCAAAAAACCCCATAGGAACGCATTAAACCCTGTTTAATGCGTTCCTATGGGGGATAAACTCACCGCTAAGTGGAAATCCTCCATACGGTCGCCATTTTCGCCACCTCGGTAAGCGAGGAAACCGCGCGCAAATGCTGTGGGTGGCCATTTTTTCTCCCGGTGGCCATTTTGGAACCACCGATCAGCTGTTTTCTAAACATTGCAATGCGAAGATTGGTAAGCGAAACGCTTACCGATCATTGCAATGCGATGTTTAGCCATTCTAAACCTCGCAATGCGATCGCTTTTGCGATCGCAAAATCCGCATCGCTATGCAGATTCGTCATTAAACGGGCTCCCCCCCTATGCGGAGCACCACTGTACATAAAAAGACATCAGCCCTTTTTGCAGTGCTATCTGGACTGACAACAAAAATGTACCAAAAGACAGCAAAGATATTTGTGAAAGAACTACTTATTTTCAGTCAGCCCTAATTTCTGTTCCTTTCAAGGCAGCAATAAGAAAAGGAAGTTCAAAACTATGGGGGCCACTTAACAACTACAACACACACCTTGCCAAATGGAACTCTTGCTTTCATTCTTATAAAAAACCCCTCAGTAGTAGATATTTATTTGCAGCTGTATCTTAAGTATATGGAAGTACGGATGCAGCTAACTGACAAGGTGTTGGGTGCACCGCTACCACACACCCAGTCATGTTCCTGATCCAGACAGTTAGTTCACCAACTATCTGCAATTAGCCACAGTGACTCTTCCTGTACGTGCATAAAATTGTTTTGGCCAGTTAATCTTACATTTCCCCTCTCAACTAATTGAGCCCAGTTAACAGAGAAAGACCAGCCTTCCTCAAAACATGCTTTTATTGCCAATTGTTGACTGCTAGCCTTATTATTGCAAATACTGTAGTAACTTTACTAATGTAACTTTACTAACCTTAGATATTCTTGAATGAATACTGACTGCAAAATGATTCAGTCACACATACAGTAGAAGTGACAGGTATTTGTATGGTTCAGCTTCAACACTCTTCATTTATCATTTGGTCAATACCAAATTATATAGATACATTACCAAATTAGTCTCAAACACAATAGTTAAACTGAGCTGCACTTGAGATAAAACCAGTATAGTCTTAACTGAAAGTCTTAACTGAAAGTGCTTCATCTCTGACGTGATATTAGAGTCTATAAACAACCTGAACTCCACAAATCCCATGCAATCCTGCTGCCAGTTCACTTGGTGAACTGGTGAACTGGTGGTGGTGCTGTGGGCTAAACCGCAGAAGCCTGTGCTGCAGGGTCAGAAGACCAAGCAGTCATAAGATCGAATCCACGCGACGGAGTGAGCGCCTGTTGCTTGTCCCAGCTCCCGCCAACCTAGCGGTTCGAAAGCATGCAAATGCGAGGAGATAAATAGGTACCATCTCGGTGGGAAGGTAAACAGCGTTCCGTGTCTAAATCCCACTGGCCATGTGACCACGGAAAGATTGTCTTCGGACAAACGCTGGCTCTATGGTTTGAAGAGCGGGATGAGCGCCGCCCCCTAGAGTCGGACACGACTGGACAAAAATTGTCAAGGGGAACCTTTACCTTTACCTTTAATGCTGGTCTATATCCACCCCAAGCGATATCCAAAAGAAAAACTGGCAAGAACATACTTGTTTAACACACAGGGGAGCAGCAGTGCAGTGGTTATGGAAAGAGTGCTGTTGAGTAGCTGCTGAATTCATTCCCAGAAAGGATCCTCTTCCAGACATGCTACGGTTTCTGCCAAGAAGTCCCTGTTTTTCGAGCTTTGCAAAAGGAGAGCTTACAACACAGAAGCACATCCTTCAAACACCTCCTGACCAAAAAGCACAGGGCAGAAGGCAAACACCCCAGTTTCTCTTGCAAATATCCTTTTATACCATGTCAGATATTTTGGTCATCAAGCCCAGTCCTACTGAGCCTGCAACTTTTCATGGGTTTTAAACCACATTTGGGAACTTTACCATTTTGGACTGTAACTCCCAGATTTACTATTTTGGACAGTAACTCTCAGAATCCGTCAAGCAGAATGACTTGAGGATTCTAAGAGTTGCAGTCCAAAATAATAACTTCTGCAAACTTTTATTCCCCACAGATCTAAACTCTGCTCTTCCCATTATTTCTTCTCTATCCCCGCTCTATCTTCTAACAATGGTTTCCTAGCTGTGCTTTGCTCAGCTTCCAAACAAAGTGGTATTGCACGAATCACATATGCTTGCTTGTTTAAATCACATATTTAAACATCTTTATAGATGAGTGAAATGTTGCATGAATATAAAAATATCCAATTAACTCCTGAAAGCCCAAATGGTCCCTGACCAAGAATCCTTACACACCCTTTTTTTACCGTGCACAGATTTAAATTTTTAATGTCATTATTATAGAACAGATAAGCTTGTAATTCCCAGTGAAACCTGATTCAGACTTTATATCACAGTGTATTACCTTGCAGAACTAAAAGTCTGTACCAATTCATCTAATATCCGGTTATTCTTCAGGTCAGGGCCCGTAGCTGCCTAAAAACAAAACAAAATATGTTGTTTCACTTAGACATAACTCCCCCCCCCAAAAAAATTTAATTTGCTACATCTTAAAGAACAACATCAAAAATCATATACCATCTTTCCAGGAAACCTAGAAGCAAGTAAAAATAAGCTTTTGTAAAAAAACACTAAGAAATGGTGCACAGCTGCAGATTTGTTAAAATCACAAAAAGCAATCATGTATTTATAAGCAAAATAAGAAACTGGTTGTTGTGGGTTTTGGCTGTGTTCTGAAGATTGTTCTTCCTAACGTTTCGCCAGTCTCTGTGGCCGGCATCTTACACTGTTTTTATCAGAGTAAAAAGCAGAACTTTAAAATGGAAAGACTGAACACTGATTAATTGCAGAACAACCAAATACAGTACAGGACATGGAATGGTTTGCTGCATACAAATTGTTCCTTTATAAGTCTGATACCCATCTTCCATCCACATTGAGTTGCCTTGTATGGTGCTAAACGTCTACTGTTTCTCTTGAAAAAACTCATGTCTTTATGCAGAAGATATAAATGCAGAAACAAAGTTATTTGTTTCAGACATATACACAAAGCCATCTTCAAAAAAAGCAATGGGTATCGACAGAGGCACAGAGTAGAACTTGGAGACTGTGAACATTTAGTAATTTGTAGTACAATTCATGCCTTTAGGAGCAAAGATTCTAAGGCAGACATACCTTGCTAGTTCTTATCGAAACCTTTGCTAGAGTTTCTAGGCAAACTGTTATTTTAAGAACTGCATTGAAATCCAACAAGCCTGAAGCAATAACTAATTCTAATTTGGCTTACTGTACATAGGGTTCCATACAATTTACTTTCTAACAAAGTATTTTAGAGTCAACATGCTGTGCATATATAATACAGGCCTCACCTCTATTAGACAGTATTATCCCTGATTTGCTTCAGTCTCCACCCCAGAGATCATCAGAATTTTGGTTTTGATTATTCCCTTTTCATATTACAGAGCAGTCACAATGCAGAGCTACAACCGGGTATTCCAAGTACCCGTATTTTTCGCTCCATAAGACGCACCTTTCCATAAGACGCACCAATTTTTTAGGAGAAGAAAACAGGAAAATATAATCTGTTTTTGACCGGGTATTCCAAGTAAATACATCATCAGGACAACAACTGTGAATAAGAATAGTCTAAAGTATGTCTGGTAATCTTCACATGCTTCTGGACTACAACTCCCATTATACCTCACCACTGGTTATGCTGGCTAAGGTTAAAGGGAATTCTAGGTCAAAAACATGGAGATGATCTCATTTGCCCACCTCTAGTTTAGAAGCTAACATGTGCTGGATTATGGAGAAAGCCAGAGAGTTCCAGAAAAACATCTGCTTCATTGACTATGCAAAAGCCTTTGACTATGTGGACCCCAGCAAACTATGGCAAGTTCTTAAAGAAATGGGAGTGCCTGACCACCTTCTCAAACTCCTGAGAAATCTATATTTGGGACAGAAAGCAACAGTCAGAACTGGATATGGAACAACTGATTGATGCAAAATTGGGAAAGGAGTACGACAAGGCTGTATATTGTCCCCCGGCTTATTTAACTTATATGCAGAATACACATCTGAAAGGTTGGACTGGAGGAATCCCAAACTGGAATTAAGATTGCCAGAAGAAATATCAACAACCTCCGATATGCAGATGATACCACTCTGGTGGCAGAAAGTGAGGAGGAATTAAAGAACCTTGCAATGAGGATGAAAGAGGAGAGTGCAAAAATGGTCTGTAGATCAACATCCATGATCACTGCAGATGGAGACAGCAGACACAAAATTAAAAGACTGCTTCTTGGGAGGAAAGCAATGACAAACCTAAAAAGTATCTTAAAAAGCAGAGACACCACCTTGCCAACAAGGATCTGCATACTCAAAACTATGGTTTTTCTAGTAGCAATGTATGGAAGTGAGAGCTGGGCCATTAAAAAGGCTGACCACCGAAGAATTGATGCTTTTGAACTGTGGTGCTGGGAGGGGGATCTTGAGAGTCCCCTGGACTGCAAGGAGAACAAACCTATCAATTCTAAAGGAAATCAATCCTGAGTGCTCACTGGTAGGACAGATCCTGAAGCCGAGGCTCCAATATTTTGGCCATCTCATGAGAAGAGAAGACTCCCTGGAAAAGACCCTGATGCTGGGAACGTGTGAGGGCAAGAGGAGAAGGGGACGACAGAGGACGAAATGGTTGGACAGTATCATTGAAGCTACCTACATGAATTTGACCAAACTCCAAGAGGCAGTGGAAGTCAGGAAGGCCTGGCGTGGGCCACAAAGAGTCAGACACAATTTAACGACTAAACAACAACAACATTTAGAAGCAAGAGCAAGTGATGTGGAACTTAGGTTGTTTTATCTAGTCAGCGACGAATTCAGGAGTGGAGAAGGTGAGATAGTTAAGTCACTCTGAATCTCCACAGCTCCATCTAAAATATGGACCTTTGCTCACAATTGCCAGTCCTATCCAAATTCAGCCACCACAAGGGATTTCTCTTTCTCTCTCGCTCTCATCCAGTTCCTCCTCTCTGTGCCTAGTATTCTTAACGTATCCTATTTATCCCATGCACTGTGAACTAGATTAGCCAGCCTGCCCCATCTACCGTTCTATAGTACTGTATTTTCCAGCCTGAAAAAAAAAGGAGAGCACATCAGACCAGTGGTGATGGGTCCAAAGTGCAGGGCAACTGAGATTGGAAAACTGACAACTGGCCCCGTCTTGGTAACAGTTGGGGGAAGAGGAGAAATTCTCTATAAGAAAGAATGCAAACACAGAATGATCCACTTTTATGTGAATGCACATGTGACCTAAACCAGTTTCTCCAACAAACCTCATGGCTAAGTGGGGATTTAAACTTGTATTTTGGCTTTACCATTTATATGCTATTCTTCTCCCCTCTGCAGAGCATTCAAGACTAACTTCTGTTTTCAAGATATGAATCTGTCATCCTTTCTGTTTCCTTGCTCTTTTAGAAATGGCAAACCATTCTGGAAATTGCACTCCTTCCCCAATGCTTGCCACATTCTGACCAGTGCTGCCCATAACATCCAATTTAAGATTTTACCAGTATTCAGAAGATTGAGGGGCTGTGTGCCATTTGGTGCAGGGTGGGAAACAGAAAATTACCCAGCACCCAAGAGCATATTTCAGAAACATTTCTGCCCAAGAGTTCTATAATCAAATAAAATATCTGATTTTAAAAAACGGACTGGTTTGGTTTACAAAGGAATGTTCTCATATTTCACTAGTGACCTAAACGATCTCATAAAGGAATCTTCTGCACTCAAATATGTGGTTTTGATTTTCTTCCCTCTTAGGTTCCAAAATGGTCCAGAACCAATTGCATCAGTACTGACAAAGACAGATTTATTCTTACAGATATTTACAGGGATATCTTTGTAGCCATAAATTAATTTGTTTTCTCTGTCCTTCTATAGCCATATAGTAACTTTCCTTTCTATGAGACCTGACAAATTAGAGTTGCCATTTTAGTATATGGCTGTTCAGTCTGCTGGCTTGACCATGTGGGCTTAAATATGCTTAATGACTTACAAGTAAAGCTTAGTCTCATCCATAGTAAAACCTGGATGACAATGTTCCAGATATGTTAGGCAAATAATCAGGTCTGGAGAAATCCTTTGTTCTCTGTGACACAGGTGGCTCAAAATGCATTACCGTACTAGGGTTCAGGTAACTGAGATCACACTACTTTGAAACAAAAATAACCGTGGAGTCCAAGAATTCTGCAATAGCTTTCCATTCCTAAGAAAACTCCTTCAGGGCAAGAGACCACCTGTGAATGACTCTGTGAGGGTAAATTAATCCGAGAAGCAGCAAGGGTGCAACTTAACCCTTCTTTCCTCAGAGTTACTCCCCAAGAATCTCCCTATTCTTAATATGAAGTTTTTAAAGAATACATTAGCTAAACCTTCATTAACTAATGAAGGTTTAAAAAAATACATTAGCTAAGACAGATAAAATATTCAAAGAGATCTTCATAGGCTCAAGTATTGGACTGAAAACAACAAAATGAAATTCCAACAGGAGTAAGTGCAAATTGTTATACCTAAGAAAAAGAAACCAAACACAGAGTTACAAGACGAGGGATACTTGGCTCGGCAATATGACATGAGAGAACCATCTTGGAATTGTTATAGATCGCAATCTGAATATGAGCCAACAGTGTGATGTGGCTGCAAAAAAGTCAAATGCTATTTTAGGCTGCATTAACAGAAGTATAGTTTCCAAATCCCACTATTCAGCACTAGTTAGGCCTTGTTCCCTCTATTCAGCAATAGTTAGGCCTTGTCAAAAGTACTGTATCCAATTCTTGGCACCACACTTTAAGAAAGATGCCAACAAACGGGAGTACGTTCAGAGGAGAGCAACAAGGATGATTAGAGACTGGAAACCAAGCCCTATGTAGAAAGACTAAAAGAACTGGGCATGTTTAGTCTTGGGAAAAAGAAGGCTGAGGGGAGACAGCACTCTTTAAATACTTGAGAGTTTGTCATTCAGCGAATGGACAAGATCTGTTCTTGATCATCCCAGAGTACAGGACACATAATAATGGGCTCAAGTTACAGGAAGCCAGAATATCAGGAAAAATATCCTAACTTGAAATGCAGAGCTGGAAGAGACCCTATAGATCATAGAGTTCAGCCTTTGTCAAGGAGACACAGTAGGAGGGAGTCCAACGCCTAGCCTCTGGCTCCACAGCCAGATACCTAAATCACTGAGCTATCCATTGTTGTATTGTTAGAGCAGTACAACAATGGAACCAATTAGGAGGTGATGAGTGCTCCTACACTGGAGGCATTCAAAAGAAATTTGGACAACTGTCAGATATACCTTAATTTGGATTCCTACACTGAGCAGGAGTTTGGGCTGAAAGGTCTTATATGCCCCTTCCAACTCCATAATTTTATGATTCAATAAATATTACACACACACACAAAAAAAGAAATACCTCAGAATAGGCTGCCAGCAGAGGTACTGAAAAAAAAATAGACTACTAAAAATGCTTGAAATCCAAATGACCAAAGAGAACATCAGTCATGTGAAACAGAAGAATATAATACTTGGCAATAAGGAGAAAGTTCTGAAGTATAGTTGCTTAAAGAGTCAAAATAATGCAAAGACTGGATTAGAATGACTTTGACACCTCTACGCACTCTCCATTTGTAAAACTCTAAAGCATTTGTACACAAGAAGAGTATAGCAGAAGATAAATACTTACCACACAACATGTTGGACACTGAGCCTTGTAGGATAGGGATTTCCGAATGCAGAGAGAACAATCTGCAAGGGGGGAAAGACAGTACACACCATTAATTCATGAGGACGTTACATAGTGATATTGCAACTTTTACAAAACATGAATTGTAAATTTCATATTTGCAATTTTTAAAAAAAAACAACTGTGTTTCGCTTTCCAAGCTGAACAAATACAAGTAACTAGCTTCACAAAGTATAGAAGAAATTATTTGAGACAGCCTTGCAGGTAAGATAGACAACTTTCATAGTTTATAACATACAATAAATGGACCCTAATTATTTCCACATATTGCTTAATGCCATGGAAAATTGGAAACAAGAGTTTTCAAGTCCTTTATTTTGCCAAGTATATGTGCAGAGGTGATGATCTCCTAAGGAACAATTCAAGCTGAACATACACCAGCTGCTGCAATACCACTTAGGTAGAATTTTTCTTATGCTCAATTATTATAGATTTTTTTTATTTAGACTAATTCCTATAGCTGTAAAAAATAGTTTATACATATATGTTCAGCTTTTTTTTTTTTTTGGCCCATGGTCCTTTTAGTAGCTCTTCTCACGTGACAAGGGCCCCTTGTCAAGCAAGGACATAACATGAACAGAGGAATAGAACATCCCCTTCTCACTAGGACAAATCTGTGGCCCCTTCAAATGTGTCAGGGGCCCACAGGGAGCCATATGGTCCTCATTGAGAATGGCTGTTTTAAATAACTTTGTTTAAACTAAAACATGCAATTCATATAATCAGCCATGTTAAAGTACAGTATATGTTTATAATTTTTTACAAATTACTCCACTCCATCTTGCAAAACACATAAAAATTAGATCCTCTTTTTGAAACCAAATAAAACCAAAACATGGAGTAAACCAAACCAGTACTCAAGCAATATTGACACTGTAGGTCACAGATTAAACATTTATACTGTTAACGGTACTAATTACTGTGAGGAATTGTCAATGTTTATGATTATCAAACAGACAGCACGACCAATTACTTCCCATGTCCAGAGAAATCTTATTTTGCCCAGTAATTATCAGTACTTGTTGTGCATAAGTATTCAGCTCAAGGCCCACAACCAAGCATGCCTAATTCTGTGAATCTTGATTGTTTGTTCTCCTTGTATGCGCACAGAGAGGACAAAAGAGAAACCTATTAATTTCACTACTTATCTTCCAACTTATGAAAGTGCTATGATGCAAGAGATATGCAAGCAGCACAGAAAGTACAACAACCCCAATCCAAATTCTTTTATTTGCATTGTGCACCTAGCAACTATAAAAGGTTTAATTTAAATGCTATTCAGGTTTTTCTCCATGCGTAGGGCTTGCTGTATGTTTCATAAGCAGCTGTTTCCACACAGGATGTTCTCCATGATCTGAGCAGAGAATCTAAGCATAAGCTGCTTTGTCTACCCACCTATGGAAAACCACCTGAAAAACTTTGTTTTGCAAACATTTAAAATGTTTCAGCAGCCAATTATTATTCACATTTCTGAGTAAATAATTACAAAATAAGAAATTTGATTTAAATACTTAAGCAAAACACAAAACAGACGGATATAAAATCACATTTGTATTCTACCTTCCCTCTAAGGAGCTCAAGGGACAGCATGCATTCCCATCCCATCTCCATCCACATAAGAATATTGCGAAATAGGATTCAATGAGAAGTAGTGGCTTGCCTATGAACTCTGTGGTTGTGTGACCTCTGAATCCACCTCTTCCCAGTCTAAACATCATCATGAGATTTATTTAAGTGCTTCTATTCCAACTTATGCTCAAAGCAGCTCACAAGGAAAGAAACAAATTTTCACTGTATGCATGCAACAGAAAAATCAATACATTTTAAAATTGACTTCATAATACTTCATACACATCCTCATTAGCAAACTTTGCATTAAAATTTTCCTAACCTTTCCCATACCGCAAAATCATCAGCAAAAAAGTTCATATTTAGACAACATACCTATCAATTGCTAATTTAAGCACCAGAAACCTTGCTCCTTATCAAAATGTTACAATTTAAATCAATTACATTTAAAGTCTGCCAAGATAGCCACACTTCAATGAGGCTACAGAAGTTGGAACTACAATAACCTTAACCACCATAAGAACAGCAAAAGTATGCACACATTTAGTGTGCATTTAGTATTCCCAACCAACCAGAAATCCCAATGACAAAGTCTACTAACACTTACAGCACTCTTGTTGTGCCATAGAATGGTTGGGCAACCCACTGTTCACATACCGCATTTTTTGCTCCATAAGACGCACTTCCCCCCCCCCAAATAGTAGGGGAGAAAGTATGTGCATCTTATGGAACAAATACAGTAAAAAAGGGGTTCAACCACCACCACCCAGAAGCCCCCCACTGCCATGCTGGGAGGCCTATGAACTAGCACCAAAGCCTGCTTGCTGTTTGGACCTAACCATTTTGCACTGCTGGCTTTCTAGGATCTGCTTCCTGGAGCCCACCTGGAAAACCAGCAAGGCCAACAGGCCTATGGCAGCAGGCAGTGAAAACAGCCAAGCACCAAAGGGGAAAGAGTGATTCTAGAAAATTCAGGGGAAACCACAAACATAGTCCCCCACTTAGGCAGTTGATTTTCCCATATTTGGGGAAATTACAGGGGTCAGCACATCCAAAGTGCAATAGATGAGCCTCGCCCTGGGAAAACCACTTTGATGATCATGGTATCTCCCCTGCCAGGTATGAGTTGGAATGGCCTCTGAACCTCCTGCCCCTTTCTGTGCCCTGTCCCCTAAAGGCATGGTGACCCCCCAGCTACACCTCCTGATCAGAACAGGGCTGCAAAGCCCCAGTCCCGAAAGAGGCGAAGAGTGCTACTCAGTGTTTTGGGGTGCCCCACAGGACCCCCATCAGGGGCTGGATGTTCCTCCCACAATCTTCCAGTGCACAGATATTAGCATACCTAATATGCGAGGAAGGCAGGGAAAGCGGGGAAATTCAAACTTTCAGTTAGTGAAGAGGCTGCTTGTCTGCTTCCTTGCTAGTCCAAGCAGTTAGAGAGCTGGGAGAGACCTGGTATTGCCTGGTATTGTCGTTTTAAAATGTAAAATTTAGTTTAAAAGCTGTTTGTTTGGGGTTAGTGCTTGGGTGAAAAGGTGCTCCATTTGAGTTGAAACCTGCTTGTGTAGAAACGTGTATACTTGCTTTAAAAGCTGCCTTGGATGGCTCCTCATGAAGACCAGCGCCGATCATGCGGTGGGGAGAGGGGAGAGGAAAGGAGCAGGAGCGGAGAAGAGCACAAAAGGGCTGCCAACTGCCTGCTGGCTTTTAGCTGTTTGGGGCTCTTTTTTTGGCTGTTCTTGGGTTTACCAAGGCACTGTGAAGAGCAAGGCTCAGTCTACAGTACCTGGTAAGTG